GCATAGTAAGCAAGCTGTCACTCTCCCCATCCACAGGCGTCAATGAGCCTGGCAAACCCCTGCCTTGTGTCTTAAATGGTGTCAACTGGAAAAGCCAGCCAAGCCTCAGGCAGTAGAAAGCAGATGGAGGGCAGAGGCCAGCCCCGCAACTGTTTTGTGCTCTGTGGGAGGTGGGCAGACCCAGGCCCTGTGGGTGGTAAGCCTGTAAGAGTGCACATAATCTCAAGGGCCCAGCTCTGCTCTGTTTAGGCCCAAGTCCAGGGTATATTGGCCTTGACATCTTTGAGATGACAGTATTTGAACCTTGTGCCTCTTGATCTTGGGGACAGCTATTCCCTTAGGGACTGGAGCATGTGAAAGCAATAATGATTCAGGTCACTTTAGGACATCCAGAGCTAGACTGTGAAGTCCACATGCCACTGGACCCTCCTGGGCTCCCTTACCCCTCCCCTGATAGGAGGAGGAGAGGGAGGAGAGGAGCATCTCTGGGGGGGCAGCAAGATTTAGCAGTGGCCCAAGCTCTACAGGCAGTCACAGCAGGCCTGGAGCTGGGGGTCTGAAGCCCAGGGCTGTGTAGCCTCAAGCCCTGAACTCTCCCCTGGAGCAAGTGCTGCTGGGTACCAGTTTCCAGGGCCATGTATGTATAAGAAACACCCTCTCCCCTTCCCAGGCACAGCTGGGCGGGATGGAGGATGGAGGGTCCCTCTGAGAAGAGGGAGATCCAGGTCCGCCAGCCCCACCCCCTGTACATCATCAGCCTTTCACCACTGCAGTGGGGCTGCCTGGAGCCTCTGCACTGCTCCTCCAATGGGTAGCACCTGCCCACCTCCCTGACTCGGGTACCCCACCCCCCCTCCAGGCGGGGCCTGCTGCCTCACCAGGACTGCTCTTTGGAAGACTTTGGGCAGATGCTGTAGCCCCTGCTGCCCTGGGAGTCACAGTGCTGCCTCCTCACTTGGCCCTGACAGCACTGCAGACTGTCCCTCTGTCTCCTTTGAGGTCTGAACCCAGTGGCATCTGCTAAGGGATGGGAACCAGCCTAAGGGCTGAACCTGGTGTTAAAAGAGAAAGTGAACTGACAAATATGTTATACTCGTGTGACCACGGAAGCCTCAATTGAGTTTAAAAGGCCTGGTACATGGGGTCTCCGCATGGAGCTTGTCTCCTCTGGGAGATGAGCACTGCCAGTGCATGGAAGGGCTGTTCAGTGAGGGCCACCTGTCTGCCTGCTCCCTCTCAGGGCCCTACTGGCTTATGGGTATGGAGAGGAGAGGGCTGCCTGACACCTCAGCCATGGGATGAATTAAGTGCTTGCCTGTCTCTCTTCCTCACTGCCTCTTCTAGGCATGTCAGGCTCTTTTGTGTGTTTGAGAAGCAGCATGCTTCCTCGCTGCCCTGATGCCCCACTGGGACCCGTCTCTCAGTCTGTCTATCCCATTCTAGCAGCAACATTCACCCCTCAGCCAGCAGTGCATGGAAGGAGTAGCCCTAGCCAGCCTCCTGCTGCAGAGCTCTGGTGACCGCAGATTCCTCCACCAAGCCACAGTTTGCCACCTGGTCAGCCCCTACCATAAAGACAGGAGGGATGGGAACTCAGAGCCACTGGCTCCAGCATCCCTAGGATCCTGCTCATGGTCTCATTCGAGGGACAGTCACATCCTGTCTCCTGTTCTGTCCACTGACCTGTGACCAGTCCTTTTCCTTCTCTGTAGGCATTCTGGCTCCCATAGGTGGGATCTGGCTGCTACAAAGGCACCTCAAAAGTCCTAAGAAGGGGGCAGGTGGAGGTGCAGCCTGCTCACAGGGAAGGCCCCTTGGGGCCTGAATGAGTACCATGCTGGCGTGAGAGCCCAAGAAAGTAGTACACGTTGAGGTGGGCTCATCATGCTCATGGCTTTTCTCCACGAACTCAGCCTGGAGGAGAGGTCAGGAGCCAATAGTACAGTGCCCTGCTCCCTACAGTCACAAGCCCCTTTATCCCCAGAGAGTAACACCAAGCTGGCTGCTTTTGCCATCATTCCAAAGACATAAACCAAACCCTGCTGCTGCTCCTCAGTGGCCCTTCACCATCATCCTGCAGCTCTGTGCCTGCCCCCTTTTCCTCCCCTCTGCACAATGCAGTTTACTTCTGCACTGTACTGTATATGACTCTAGAAGTAGATTAATAAACATCATCTGAGGAACAAGCTAATAAAGACTATGCAGTCTGAGAAAATCCTCTGCCTGCGGTTGAGCTGTCACTTAGCCCAAGTGGAACTGGCAGGAAATGAATGACAAGACAGCAAGCCGATGCCACCCTGCTGGAGCCCTGCAGCAGTGTAGATCTGGTTGCTGGTCACCTTCTGGCTTGCCACCGTCCATGGCATCTGCATGGCTGCCCTGACCTGGAGGGGCCTGCCTGTCTTGCCTCATGTAGGTCTCTTGTCCTCTGAAACTCCATATCTCACTTGCAAAGACAAGTGGCCTCACAGGCCCTGGGAGGGCACAATGGCCAAGGCAGGTGACAGTGTTACAGAAGGGAACCCTCCAGAGTGTCTGCTCCAACTCATATCAGAGTCAGGCCTGTGGCCCAGAGCAGCCACCCAGGCTGTAAGGACCTGCAGAAGTGCAATCAGTGGGGCTTCTCAGGGCTGTGCTGGAAGCCCACCTGCTCCTGGGCCACAGAGCATCAGGCCTCCATGGCAGTGCAGGAAGGAAGCTGTCCCTCATACTCCAGCTCCTCTGGTACTTAATGGCATGCTATAAAAAAACACCATTGCCAAGCCTGGTGTGGTGGTGCACGCCTTTATTCCCAGCACTCGGGAGCCAGAGGCAGGTGGATCTCTGTGAGTTCAAGGCCAGCCTGGTCTACATAGTGAGTTCCAGGACAGCTGGAGCTACAGGGAGACCCTGTCTCAAAAAGACCAAAAAAAAAGTCACCGTTGCCACAGTTTCTATACCCCCAAACCCTAGCTACCCCCGACCTCAGACTCCATCTATCTCCTTAACTAAGATCCTGGTCTTCTCTGATCTGTGTACTCTGTAGGCATCGTCTCTGGCCCCTGCACTCCCACCCTGGCCACATGAGCCCAGTCTGCAGTTCAAAAGGGAGGCCTTAGGCACAGGGTTCTCTGAGCCTGGGACTGCAGTTGTCCCTCCCACTCCTTTCCTCTCTGACCTGGTAACTGATGATGGGCTACAAACCTTCCCTGGCACTTCCTTTCAGCTGTCCCACTGTTGAAGAAGCCCTACAGGCCTTTGCTTATAACTGTTTTCTGCAGGAGCAGAGGGCTCTGCACCTCCAGTACTGACAGGATGGGTCAGAGGCCCAGGGCTTTTGTTCTAATACTGTAGAGTAAGTAGCCTTGCTTTGGGCCAGCTCGAAGCCTGCAGCTACATGCAGCTGGGCCTGGCCTAGCCTGGACATCTTACCCCAGGGGAGCTTGTGGACACCCTAGAACTGGGGCTCTCTGCATCCACAGCCTTGTTGATTCCGAGGTAAAGAGCTCAGGGTGTATGTCACTCCCATCTGTTACCATGAGAACCTGGGCTATACCTTGCTGAGCATATGGCACCCTCCGGAGGTTGCCATCTGGCTCAGGACCAGAATAGTCCACACCAAGACTGCCCAGGTGTGAAGTGGGAGATGCCTGCCCCAGCCTGGGGTCCAGACTCCCAGTGTACAGCCAGTAGGCACACATTATGCATCACACTGCACATCTCCTCTGAGAGCAATTTGCTCATCTTTCCTTCAGGGGAGAACTGCTCTTTGTAGTGTGTCCTTGGGTATGGAGTGTCACCCCAGGGTCATCTGCGCTTCATTGGCTCTGACAGAAAAGCTGTGTTGTACCCTGTCACTTGTAATTACATTTCCTGAGTGAGTAGAGGGGAGTGGTTCCCCAGGCCTTTGCCTCTCCAGGGAGCAACAGGGTGTTTGAGAGGGCTCAGGGCACAGCTTGCTGTGTCTCTAGAAACTAAGTAGGATACTGCAGAGGTCTTGGAGGGTGGCACCGGAGACACAGCTGGACAGCAGAGACAGGCCTTTCATGTCTTCTGTGCAGGTGCCTCTTCTTCCTACTGGCGCTGGAGGAAAGCCCCTTCTGGCTTGCTCTGAGGCAACAATTGAGTGGGTGTCACACCTAGGAATCAGAACACTTGCTGCTGCCTGCTGATGTCTAGCATCAGGCACAGGCCCTGCCTTCGCAGGTCCTGTAGCACAAAGGAACTCCAAAGTAGCATCTAAAGCAACATTCGTACCCCATTGATGTTGGCAGTCTCATGGAGAACGCCACCAGGTGGCTGTGTGGAGACCATGTGGGCCAGGTCAACAGGCAGATTCTGCCGCCTCCTTCCCTTTCAGCTGAGCAGTTTGCGCTCTTTAGGTCCCCAGAGACAAGACTGCCTGGCAGGCAGCTGGTGTTAGGAATCCTTTTCTGAATGAATCAGCCAGCATATGGCCTCATCGTGCTTTAAGAGTTTGGCGCATGGGATCTTGGGGGTTAGAAGTAACTCTGTTGATGAACCTGCCCCCACAGCTTCACGAGCTGACCTTCCTGCAAGTGCTTTGTGATCAGCAGCTCGCAAGGTCCCCCCATGTGGCTGAGGGACCCTGCCAGAGAGTGAGGGAAGACAGGTGGTTGGTAGTTGGGTTGAGCCTGCTTTTTCTTGTCTTGGGATGTGAGTTCACTGGCACTGGGTTTTGTCTCACTTGTCAACCTGGTGGCTGTACTGACTCCTCGTGGTCCTTATGTTTGTCTGAGCACAATTGTACTATGTGGGAAGTAGTTAAATCCTTTGAACAGCACTCTGGGACATTTGATTATGTGGCTGACATCACAGAGATGCATGCTGCTGTTGTAGCTGGCTTACCCTCCACTTCTGACAGTGCTCAGTGTTGTGTGACAATTACCTGCAAGGGATGAGCAGGAACTGGAGCTGGGAGGGAGCTTCAGGGCTGCTCTGTGGCCCTGCAGGCAGAGTGATGAAGGCGAGCCTGATTCCTGTTGGTCCTGTCTCCCCAGGAGCTGCCAGAGCATGACCAGCTTGTTCAGTAGCACCATGTCACCCATCAAGGACGGAACCTCTTCTCTCCCCAGGAGACAGAGCTCCCTGGCCCAGCCCCCACTCCGTGCCCTCTACGATCTACTCATCGCACCCATGGAAGGGGTAAGTGCCTCCTGCAGCACTCAGCTCCTTGGCATCAGGACATATCATTTCCTAGCCAGTGCCTACACGTCCCCCTAAGACACAAAGACAACCAGAGTTTTCCCAGAGCCTGTGTTTCTGCCTAGCACCTCACTTAACTTGAGCACTCAGTGGACACGCTTATAGCTGGCTGCTTATGGGTAAGCTGCCAGGAATGGGTCTGAGTCCTAGCGCTGCCCCACACTGTGCATTTTACCTCAGTGCCTAGAGTGCTTCTTGCCTGGCCTACAGGCCCCGAGGCTCAGGGCAGTGCACGTGCTGGTGGGATGTTCCCCCAAACACTACCGCCGGTAAGTGTCTCCTGCCCTCACCTTGTCCCAGGTGCTTGTCCAGCCCCCTTGCTCTTTACTGGGGCCTCAGATACTATCAGGACAAGACAGGGCTGAAGATGCCTACCACAGGCCACCCTATCCTGTGGCTGGCATGTTCCTGACACCTTCAGCTTGGCATGTTACTTCTTAATTCTGAGAGGGCTCTTTGATGGGACAGGGACCTTGGTAGATTTGAAAGTTCAGGGAGCTTTCTTCAGGCATGATCATTGCAGCTCATAGATCTTTCTACAGAGGTAGGAGCACCGCATAGCAACTCCCCATGTGCCCGCACCTGGGGCAGGGACGCTGCCATCCTAAGAAACCCCTGCTCAATGATGATTCTTCTGCCCCAGAAAGGGCCCATCCCTGACCCTTCCTGTCCTTCCAACAGTGTCAGCTGGTCTAACAGTTGTGGGGAGGGTGTTCTGCCTACTGGTAACCTGATCGTCTCTGCCCTTTCCTCACAAGTGACTTTGCCCACACCATTTCCCCTCTTGATGTGTTTTCTCTGTAGGAAGTGAGGACCACCTTTAGTACATGTCTGGTTAGCACAGGAATGGAAGAGAAAAACTTGCAAAGTGTCAGGGCCATAGTCAGGGACTGTCACCTGGCTAGGGGTATCTGCTGTGTCCAGCCCCCACCCAAGAGCCCTCCAGTCTTTGCCAACTGCAACCTGTTGGGTGTGGTCCCCTCTCCTGCAGAGGCTGAGCCCCTTTCCTCCTCTGTGCTCAGCCCTGTCCCTTCTTAGCATCTTCACCTTCTTTAGGTTGTCCCGTTCATGAGGTGACCACACCTGCCCAGCAGCTCCAGCTCACAGTAACTTACTGGTTTCTGCCAGAGCTCTCAGAGGACTCGGCATGCTTGTCCCTGTTTCCATCCTGCTGCTCGTCACCAGACACGCCTTCTTGGTGGCTTACCGCCAGCCTTCCTCCACACTGCAGTGCTCCCCTGGCTCCTCTGACAGGTGCTGGGAGCCCCACTCTTCCCTAACCTTCACCTCCTCAGATCCTTTGCATCCAACTGCTTATGTTTTTGCTCCATTAATGTTGAAGTGGTGAGCTGAAAACAGGAAGAGGTCAAAGAGCACAGGGGAAGGCACACACTTAGGAGGCCAAGGCACGACTGTATGAGCCCAGGAGTTCCCAGCCACCCTGAGCATTGTGGGATTCTGACTCAAATTTTATTTAAAATATAAAAAGCTCCATTGTGTTTCTGAAAGCACTTCTCTGAGAAGGTGGAATCTAGATGGGTACCCAGTTTCATCCTTTCAAGGAATGCAGCAAGTCTTTATAGACAGGTGCTGGGCAGGCACGTGCTGCTCTGCAGAGCCAGCAGAGCAGCTGGTCTGAGGGTGGACAGGTGTGCAGGGAGGACCCATCATCTCCAGGATGGTCCCCTCTTCTCCTGCCTGCCCTGGAGAGCCTCCTTCATGGAGGTCTGGATCCTGTGTCTTCTGCAAACATGCCACACCTCCCCAGAGACCACCAGAGGGCGACGTGACACCGCCGTCCACTGGGGAGTCCTGCTGCCTGTTTCCAGAAACAGTCCATCCCCTCCACATTTTTACAGAAGCTACAAATCAGAACCGAAGGTCAGAGACTATGAATCACTGACACTTCAAGCCTAACCGATTAGCCTCTTCACATGGGACATACAATTATTTGAACAACTGCCTTTGTTCTCTGTGGTCCCGTTGCTAGGGGGCTAGGCCAGACATTATGGAAAGTGGAACAGAATAATATTCTACCTCAGGCACACACGAGCCTTTGATTGAATTTGGCTTAAGGGAAACACTGTCATAGTTTTCTTGGAAGTGCGCTGTCCTCTGCTGTCAGGATAGGTAAGCATGCCCACTGACTCTGAGGAGCCCATAAATCTGCACACATGCTATCAGCCAACGATAAGTCAAATCCTGTTTGATACCCAGAGGGAAGTGTCACCAAGGAATAGATGCAAGTGTTTAGAGTGAAACATACTTGGGGGTGGGTGTTCAGGCATTATTTAATCTAAGTTGTGAAGGACAGTGACCCAGTGACCCATCCCTTGACATGGTCTACCCCTCTGGCTGCAAAAGGCCCAGGGGACTATGCTGTCCACAGCCCAAACGCACAGACCACTTGCTAACAGTGGCATATTTAGAGTGGTCTTGGAGCCTGCCCCTGCATCTACCATCAGCACGTGTGACTCTCATCCACCAATGTCCAGATCGCCTACACTACAGGCGGCTTTACCCAATGACAGGTGCTGTGGCCATCGAGGCAGGCCTGCAGCAGGACATTTTCCAGGCTGGCCGATTAAGTCTGTGGAGGCCCAGACTTGAGGACTTCAAACCCTTGGATTTGGGGCTTGCTCTAGTGACGGTCTCTGCCATCATCTTTTCTTCCCTTATTTCAACTCCACTTCCTACCAGTAAAGTCTTACAACCCCAATCTGTAGGACAGGGAGCAACAGTGAACGACCCCGTCAGGAAGCAGACACCAGGCTTGCTCACCTCTGCTCGGGGCCAGACATAGAACTGACTTGGCAAGTGGAAGTTTGTGCTGTCTCCTAGCATTGGTATGCACTCAAGATGCCTGAAGCCTGTCATAGGAAGCATAACTGCTGGCTGGCTCTGCCAGAGGCTCTTGGAATCCTTGACCACAAGAGCTCCAGGGTCTTTTTTTAGTGCCCTATAAAAGTCTCTGCATGTTTAAAATGTGTGATGAATAGTTCACCTTAGGACAACAGGCCCACTAGGGCCCAGGCTTACCTGACTATTCTTAGCAGACCAGGGACTTGGAGGCAGCCAGGGAATTCTGTCCCTGGATATGGTGAAACCCAGACTCTCCAGTGAGTCCAGACTTGAGAATGAGGCCCTGGGGACCGTAGCCCCAGGGCTGACTAATTGATTTCTGGTTGATAACTCTGTGATAATATTTAAATGAGGAGACATGTCACCCAAGGAGAGCAGGCACTTCCCAACTGATGAAGAGGGGAAATGGAGGCTGCTATCTGTGAACTATCTGTAGACCTGAAACCACCAGTGCAAGCACCTGAGACACAGAGTGAGTTCCCAGGAGGATTAGGGCCATCTCACTGAGGCCACTGATCCTCTGAGCCTTGGTGACATGCACCAAGTACAGGTTTCTTAAAAACCCAAGAAGACATGCAACCTGGAATCTGATGTTTCTAGGTGCTCAAGACCATCAGGCACCATGGGGTCCATGGAAGACCCCCAAGGAACAAACCAACAGAGCATTAGAACTCGCCGTCTGACCACCATTCGGTGTTCATGGAGCTAGAACAAGCAGGCGCAACAGGTCCCAGTCTTACCTGACTATTCTTAGCAGATGGGATACTGGCAATGGGCAACTGCTTCCTGTTGACACAGCAAATCGCTGTGGGTGGTGGTGATGGTAACAGTGATGTGGGGACATCTTTCTATCCAATCCCTGGGCTAAAATTTGGAGCTGGATGCTCCACAGAATTCATTCACATGTTTTAGCCACATGGCTATCTGCAAAAGCCAAAGGGAAAGGGAACAAGCTATACTGGAAAATGACAGGTGCCAGGAGGGCATGGCACAAACCACAGGCCATGCCAATGTGTCTGAGCCCCCGTGGGCAGCCACATGCTCACACTTAACCACACGTGCTACAGCCCACATGGTTTCAGCGCCCATTGCCTCCTGGGATAAGATGTTATGAGGAAGGGATACCAGCTTCTCTGGCCTATGCAAATGGAAACAGGTGGAGCCAGTGTAGGCACTGCCCATGCTATGCCGAGCCAGACACCCCACCCTGCTGCTTCCCCCTCATGCCTCCCACCTGGCAATGCATATGGCAGAGGCCTCTCCTGTACCCCTGGTCTCCACTCCAGACACGCCTTCCCTTCCTGGTCCACAGTTCATAGCTTCCATCATGGTGGTCCAGTCAGGAGCCAGAAATGGCATCACCAGCTAGTAGGAGAGTAGTGGGAAGGGGTTAACTAGAGCAAGAGTACCGGGAGACCTGCAGATTCTCCAGGGCTTGAGGCACATGCTCCAGAAAGGGCAGACATGGAGCTACTCTAGCCAGCCTACAGCCTGGCAGTGTTTGCGGCTAAGCCACCTGGAGTGCAAGTAGGCCAGCAGGCCCACAGCTACCAGTGTGGGGAAGGCTGTGGGAAGGGGATTGATGGCAAGGTGTCCAAGGGGTGGCCTGGGCCCATGGCTAGAAGGCTTCACTGGATGTCCTTATGTTGTCTGACCCCAGCCTGCTGGATGGCTGCCTCCTCAGTGACACCCTGACAAAGCTGGGCATGTAGCACCCTTGACCCAAGAAATTCTTGGGGACATGGCACATCCTGGAGCAGAAACTGAGGGACAGCAGCAGCACAGGGCAACCTCTGCCCACCCTCAAAAGGACCAGCCCTTCCCTTTGCAAAGGCTAGCCTAGTCCTTACAGGGCCACAGTGCAACTGTGCACATGGTGCCTCCTCCTTCCACCCTAGCCCTGCACACAGCAGCTCTAGCTGCCCCAATTCACATTTGACCATCAGGTCTCAGCCCACTGCAAGTCCATCCGGATACAGCCAGGCCTGCAGCACATGGCAGTGATGGATGAGGGCTGGGCAGAGTGTCTGCAGAGTGTCTTCCCCACCTGCCTCCTCAGCTCCCTACATCTCCTTTCAGAGCAGGCATTGGTTAGCCAAGCCACGTCCCCATGAGTCAATAATTTTAATTTCTTACTTTCTTTCAATGTAGCTCCATTAAGAAGGGAAGCAAGCCATGGGGAGTTGTAGAGCTTGAATATCCATGGGAGTGTGTCACCTTGGGTTAGCGAGTACTTGTGCCCTCAGCACTGCTCCCACCCCAACCCCCACAGCAGGCAGCTGGGTTGAGTGAGCACATTTGCTTCCTGAGGGTACAGCCTGTCAATCCCACCAGGTCATTCCTTTTTCTTTTTTTTCTTTTTTTTTTTATGCTATGGAGCCAGGCCCGCCCCAAAGTAATGCTATCTGCAGATGATCTGCCAGAAGCCACACTTGGTCCTCCTAACCATCTCTTTTTCCTTCCCTTCCTTTTTTCCATTGTTTTCAAAGACAGAAGTCTTGCTCTGTAGCCCAGGCACACCTTGAATTCATGGCAGGTCTCCTGCCTCAGCCTTACAAAGTACTGGGATTACAGGTGTGCACCACCACACCTTCACAGCTTCCTTTCCTCCTTACCCTCGTCTCATAGCCTCGGTCTCCATTGGGCCCTTTTGGAAAGCCAAACCTACAGAACCAGGCCTTGGAGAGCTGCACTGAGGCCCAAACATCATGAAAGTTCCTGGACCACAGCCTCCCTCCTTCTTCAGGTGTCCCCTGGCCCTGAATGCTTCCATCCTGGCTCTGACCAGCTAGCTTGTGCCTGTCAGAACCAATTCATGGATTCTTTCCTGCTGTTGAGAGCATGTGCTCCTGGGTCCTAGTGCCACCACAGCCTTCTCACCCTGATCCTTGGGGCTTCTCCAAGCAGCATGCCCTCTGCATTCATTCCCAGCCTCCTAGGGAAACATCTGAATCTATTAGTACCTGCCCCTTTTTTGAGGTGTGGGGCGGGGTCATCCCTCTTCAAGCTGGTAACTCTAGTCTTCCAACTCAGGTCACCCACAGACTTTGACACCTTCCAGTGAGGAAGACACAGCCCCACTCCCTGAGGCAGGCACAATACTGGTGACATTTCTACAGGGCAGCACCTCTGGTCCAAACAGCCTCTTCACCTGCTCTTCAGCCAGTTGCCCAGGGGGACCTGGGGCTGAAGCCACCCACCCCGAGTCAGCCTATGTGCTTGTTCCACAGGGCTTGATGCACTCCAGCGGCCCTGTGGGCCGGCACCGGCAGCTCATCCTGGTTCTGGAGGGGGAGCTCTACCTCGTCCCTTTTGCTCTCCTGAAGGGCAGCGCCTCCAACGAGTATCTGTATGAGCGCTTCACCCTTATCGCTGTGCCTGCCATCCGCTCACTTGGCCCACACTCCAAGGTAACATGAAGCCCCATTCTGGGGACAAAAGCTGGTCCCACGGGACCTCCTCAGCCTCTTTGGTAACTGGCACAATTCGTATGAGGCAGGATCAGTTCAGAGTGAAAGGAAAGCATTTCTGAAGTTTCCATGCCTGACTGTAGGTCCCAGATAGAAAGTGAAGTAGTGTCCCCAGCACTGTCCCCTGAGTGGCTCATTGCCTGGCTCAAACATTAATGTTGTTAGGCATTGGGTGGGCCAACTTCCAGAAGTCTCCACAGCAGCAGGAAGCTGGTGTTTGCTACCTTGTCCTGGGATTTGGGGAGGCCAGACTGGTGTGTCTCCTACCCACAGTTCAGGTAGCACCAAACAGACACAGCGGTTCTGAAATAACACAACCAAGGTGTTTCCTCGGTCATCACAAGAAAATCAGAGCCTTGTCAGGCTTCTTAGGCTGACATCACCATGTTTCCTGTTCTGCCACACATAAGGCAGAAGGCAGCTGTGATCTTGGTCACCAGAGCTCCTAAAGCAGACTCTAGCTCTGTCCTCCCCTGAGTGACTTGCATAGTTCACACACAGTGCCTTCTAAAAGACCCTGGCAGTCAGTAATGGGAGTCCTCACAAAGAAGTCTAGGCATGTTGGGGCAGGCTGGCTGACAGTCCCCATATTTGCACCTGTCCCACAGTGCCACCTCCCCAGCCCTCTCAGGATTCAGCACACAACTCCCCCTTGTTCCCCAGAGCACCTCACAACAGGTGTGACTCCCTGGAAGTCAGGCACCACGGTCTCAAGAATGCTGAAAACAAGGTGGATGGCATTGGTGAAATAGGTGCTCAGATACCTGTGCCCTGCTGCCCTGTGCCTGACAGTGCTGTGCTCTGTCCCCTCCCCTTATAGTGTCACCTGAGGAAGACCCCACCCATGTACTCCAGCTCTACCTCCATGGCCGCTGTCATAGGCAACCCCAAACTCCCGTCCGCGGTGATGGACAGGTGGCTATGGGGGCCGATGCCGTCAGCTGAGGAGGAGGCCTACATGGTATCCGAGCTGCTGGGTTGTCAGCCCCTTGTGGGCAATGTGGCCACCAAGGAGAGAGTCATGAGTGCCCTGACCCAGGCTGAGTGTGTCCACTTTGCCACCCACATCTCCTGGAAGCTGTCAGCCTTGGTCCTCACCCCCAGTGCAGATGGCAACCCCGCCAGCAGCAAGAATTCCTTTGGCCACCCCTACACGATCCCCGAGTCCCTGCGGGTGCAAGATGATGCCAGTGATGGGGAGAGTGTCTCCGACTGCCCGCCACTCCAGGAGCTGCTGCTCACGGCCGCTGACCTCTTGGACCTACGGCTGCCTGTGAAGCTAGTGGTGCTCAGCTCCTCCCAGGAGGCAAACAGCCGGGTCACTGCAGATGGTATGGTGGCACTGACACGGGCCTTCCTGGCTGCTGGTGCACAGTGTGTCCTTGTGGCTCTGTGGCCAGTTCCAGTAGCTGCTTCCAAAATGTTCATCCATGCCTTCTACTCATCCCTGCTGAATGGCCTGAAGGCCAGTGCCGCCCTAGGTGAGGCCATGAAGGCTGTGCAGAGCAACAAGGCCTTCTCGCATCCCTCCAACTGGGCAGGTGAGTAGCCACAGCCTGTTAGTGGGCCTCGGGTGGTCCTCCCAGATCCATTCTGCAGGTAGCCCAAGAGGCAGGTACAGGCTTTGGCTCTAGCCCTCACCATCAGCTTGTAGAGGCGTGGCCCCTATCTTTTGGACCAAAGAGCAGTTCACCCTCAGAGTGCCCAGCCCCCCTGTTAGTAAAGATCCTTGACATGGCCCTGAAAGATACAGATGGAGCTTTGTGACCTGCAGAGGTCACTTACTGCTCTGTAGCTCAGTGTTCTGCTGGCAGGAGGAACAGCTTCGTCCCCAGGCTGGTGCTGTGCCCCCTCTAGGGCAGAACAAAGCTGTAGCCGGGCTGTGCCACTGAACCACTGTTGCTCAGGCAGAGTGGGAGTCGGGTGGCCCCATGATCTCTCATCACACCTCACCTGTCCTGTTTACTCTCCTGGCAGGCAGAAGAGGCTCAGGCCCTGTAGAATCCAACAGCATGCCCATAGGCCTTCTGGTGGGCAGCACATACATGGGGAACATGGGCATCCATTTGCTTTTATTGACAGACAACCTAGATAGGCAGCTGGTTCTTGGGAGATGCTTCCCAGTGATGCTGCTGGTAACTTCGAAACTCTTTGGTCTCTTGAGGGAGCAGGTGAGCTCAGTCGTTGCTCATTGACTCAGGGCTCCTCCCCCAGGTCCCATTCACAGAAAAGGCTAGAGCCAAGGGCTCCTATTGCTTGGCTGTGTTAGTCTTTTCTACCAGCTCAGGCTACTCCTTCAGAACTAGAGAAGCCCCTCTTCACCCCTCTCATCACTAGCCCCCAGCTTCAAGGCCCCAAGTTCCCTCTCACAAGATCTCTGACAAAGGAATTTCAGGGAGCCCAAGCCAATGGCTTCTCTGGAGGCGCCGCTCCTGTTCATCTCACTAACAGCTAGGCATTGGGCTTCCTGAGAGGTCCAGACTGAGGTTACACCCACCAGTGCCCAGGTCTCTGCTAAGCACACGGAAGAAACTAGCCAGGGCAGCAAGGCTGGGCAGGGCCCCAGCTGCCTACTCAGGTGCCCTCTGTGCCATCCTCAGGTTTCACACTCATCGGGAGCGATGTGAAGCTCAACAGCCCCTCGTCACTCATCGGCCAGGCACTCACCGAGATCTTGCAGCACCCAGAGAGAGCACGGGACGCCCTGCGAGTGCTGTTGCACCTGGTAAGGGCTGATAGGACCCTTGGGGGAACCTATGCAAGGTGCCAGTGAGGTGTGGTGATGGGCATCCTGGCACTTCCCTAGTCACTAGTGCTCTGAGCTCAATCTCCCACCTGATCTGGCATTTCAAGGTCTCTGCAGAGAAGGATTAGAGGAAATAAGACCCCCAGCAACAGCAGGATCCAAGCAGTTGACAGAGTCTTTCTCTGAACTCAGGTAGGAAAAGACTGATTTGTGCCCTTGGCCAACCCCAATGTCTGTAAGGCTTTGACAAGAGGCCTGACAGCACCATCACATCAGTTAAGTCAAGGAACAGTGACACACGGCATGGTGGCACATGCCTGTCATCACAGCACTCGGGAACATCAGGAGTTTGAGGCCAATGTCCTAGCTACTATCTATTGCTGTGATAAAACACAGACCAACTTGGAGTGGAAAGGGTTTATTTCATCTTACACTTTCAAGTGGCAGTCCAAGGCAAGAACTCATGGCAGGAACCTGGAGACAGGAACTGAAGCAGATTCCATGGAGGAACACTGCTTACTGGCTTGCTCTCCTGCCTGTGCTCCCCCAGCTTTCTTATACAACAGGTCTAGCTGCCCAGGGATGACACAGCCCACAGTGGGCTGAGCCTTCCCACACCAATTAGCAATTAAGAAAATTCCTCACAGACATGGCCACAGACCAGCCTGATGGAGGAAATTCCTCAATTCAGAGTCCCTCTCCCCATGTGTATCAAGTTGACAACTGAAGCCATCCACCACCGCCAGCCTGGTCTACATGAGACCCTGTCTCACCCCCATAATAAAGTGACAGGGAAGACTTGTCCCATCTTCCCTGGCAACATGAAAAGCAGCCATTCAGAACCCCAGCCCTAGTATAGGCTGGGTCCATGTGGCCCACAGCTGCCTATGATCACCTTGCAGATCTAGAGCAGGCATCTGCCTTCACACAGGGTAGGAGCTGGGAGTAGGCTGGGAGTCAGGTGGTCACCACCTTGGCTGTGAAAACCTCTTGTCCCATGGGGAAGAAAGGCCCAAGCAGGGCCCTTCAGACCCCACACCCTGGGCCTGGCAGCACCCTGTGACAGAGGAGTCCAGTCTTCAAACTCAGGTCTATGTGGAGGTTCCAGACCTGTCAGCATGGGCTAGTGCACTGTGCCTTGAACAGCCCGGCTCTGGCTGTGCTCCAGACCTTGAGGAGACTGGCCTACTGGTGCCACCCTATATCTGGAGTCTACAGTGCAGGGTCCTTCTCAGTACCCTGAAGTACACCCTCCTTGCCATTGCAGACTCCTCTCCAGCCAGGCTTCTCAGCAGCCTTGTGAGGCCTGAGGTCACAGATGTGTTGACTGGTTGACTGTTCCCTCCTTCCTTGCTAACCACCTAGGTCACTCACCAAGCTCTCACCCCCTGACTCCTTGCAACAGTCCTACAGGAGGCACTGTGCCTCTGAGACCCTTCTGTCCTGGGGATAGCCAGGGCCAGTCACTCCTGACCAGAAGTGAACACTCCCCCCAATGCTGAGCCCAGCATCTGTGCTGCACTCTAAGAAAAGCCATGGATGGGTGACATCCTGAAGGATCTGAATTGCCTCTGTGGGGATAGCATGTGTGCCTTAGGGCCTGTGACATCTCAGGACACCCCTAGGTTTCCCCTGGAAGATGCCTGCCAGGCCAGCCAGGGAGCAAACCCATGCAGTGCTGCTACTGCACACGATTTTCTACATGAATCCCAGGCAGAGTGCTGTAAAAACTGAGGGCCAGCAGGGCATTGGTTGGGGTAGTGAAGGGTCTGAGGGTTGACCTACAGGATGGGGAAAAGGTACAGGTGGCGCAGGCTTTGACCTGCGACTGCTTTTGCCAAACTAATGTGGTGTCTGTGGAATGGAGAAGGTCCCCTGCAGCTCTGATGACCAGATCCTACCCACCTGCTTCCTCCATGCCTGAGGCCTGGCTAGTGCCACCACATCATGTCCTCAGGCCTGATCACATGGGCTTCTTAGGTATCAGTGGTCAGCACTTCCCTTAAAGCCCCTGAGGAAGAAACAGGGCTAGCCCAAGTCTTGACTGTCCCCATTCCCCACCAGGTGGAGAAATCTCTGCAGCGCATCCAGAATGGGCAGCGCAATGCCATGTACACGTCCCAGCAGAGCGTGGAGAACAAAGTGGGTGGCATCCCCGGCTGGCAGGCCCTCCTCACCGCTGTGGGCTTCCGGCTAGACCCCCCTGCCAGTGGCCTTCCAGCAGCTGTCTTCTTTCCAACGTCGGACCCTGGCGAGCGACTACAACAGTGCAGCAGCACCCTCCAGGCCTTGCTGGGTAAGCCTCTGACCACTGTGGGCTGTGGGGACCATGAGTCACAAGAACACTGGGCCTTGTAGCTAGGAGTGTCCCTAGCAGTGGCAGGGAACCCCAGACAGCCTCTGCCACTGTTGCAGATCTGATAGCCACCTCACCCAATCTTCCTGCCTATGATGGTATGGTGACCACACTCGGTAGGCTCCACCTGGCGCTGCCCCTTCCTAGGGGATATGAAGTGATACTGCTGCAACCAGCGGTGCTTTAAAAAAAAAACACACACATGCCAACCAGGGTCATGTAGGGGATACCACCACCTGAGAGCCCAGAGTATCCCGGGAATGTAACCATGGAAGAGTGAGGCACAAGGCCCAGGCCACATGATCCTGTCCCAAGCCAGCTGTGGGCCCAGCTTTTGCAAACTACCCTCATTACTCAGCATCTGGGACTTTCCCCTGGAAGGTGCCAAGGCCCTCTGAGTAACATCTGCTGATCTGTCCTGACTCAGGTCTGCCCAACCCTGCCCTCCAAGCCCTGTGCAAGCTCATCACAGCCTCAGAGACGGGCGAGCAGCTCATCAGCCGGGTAAGCAGAGCCAGGCCCCAAGTATGGGCTGGACTGGGCTGGACAGAAAGAGTGCCTGTCAGGAACACAGGGTTGTGACCTCCCCACCTTTGTGACTGCAAGGAGAGCAAGGGAAACAGCATCCCTGACACCAGTGGGGCCTGCAGATAGTTCTGAGTGTCCTCTGGTCACTGAGCCCAAAAGCATGGGGCTCATGGCCCTGTCCGATGGTCCACATGTCTCCAGAGCCCTCCACTCATCCTCTGACACCTCACCCAGCTTTCTCAGCTGACTGACCAGTATCTCAACCACTGTCCTGAGCCAGCAGGCACTGGTCCAGCCTGCCTCCGAAGCTTTGCTCCCCGAACAAAGTGTTCCACAGCTGCAACAGTGGAGCCCTGAGGCACAGCACTGAGCACAAAGCCAACCATGCGGCAGGTTTTAAAGCAGAGGTTGCTTTGAGGAAACATGGATGGCATATAGGAGTTTGGAGATTCTGAGAGCCATGCCCCCCTTCCCAGCAGGGCCCTGTGAATTCTCTGTTCCCTTGACCATCCTGCTGGCCACTGAGAGTCCAAACACACCCTGGGTGTAGCACTCTAGATAGTGTAGTGACTCTTCAAGGGCACAGAGCAGTTTTTGTGGCCGCCCTGGAGGGCACAGCTTGAAAAGGTTATAGTGTGCGCTACTACTATGGGATACCTATTGGCCAGTTTTACCCCCATGTGCCAATATGGCTGGGCCTCAGCAGGTGGGCACACTCTATGGCCCTGGACACTCCTCTGCCCTAGGGCTGTTGGCAGCCACCACTGGAACATAGAGCCTCCTGGTGACCTGTTCTCCTCCTTCAGTCCCTGCTGGTTTTGCAATAAGCATGCCCACATCTGCTTCTTGAATAGCATCAGGAGACACTTCTAGAACAGTGCATGCTAAAACATCCAGAATGCAGGAGGCCTCCAAGAACACAGCTCTGTGTTCTTCAAAAACGGAAAGCTAGACTGTACTCCTGTGCTTGCAGAGCAAGGCCAGGAGCCCCAAAACACCCACTGTTTAAGTCTCTTGCTTTTGTGGGAGTGTGGGGACTTAGGGCCTGCTACTCTGTGGGCCCCAGGGACGACCAGAGGCTGCCATCTTGAGTCACTGGAACTCCTGCTGGAGCCTTCCCTGGAGGCTGGCCTAGGTGTGGCTGTTCATCTCCTGTGTGTCCCCTGCTGCCTCTTGCTCCTCTCCCTGGTCAGAGCCAGCCTGGTGCAGTGCTTCCTAAGGCAGTGATCAGCTTGTGTGCATAACAGCTGTGCTTGAGTCTAAACTCTCTTCTCTCTCTCTCTCTTTCTTTCTTTTCCTTATAATCTGCTGGCCGAAGGCTGTTAAAAATATGGTGGGAATGGTGAGTACAACTTTAAATAGCAACTGCTGCCAGGTGAGCCCCTCTGCCCGCCCGCCCCAGGACCCTGTGGCTCTGAGCTCACAGGCTGTGCACGCTGTTGCAGAGCTCCAGGCTGGGGACCCAGTGCCGCTGGCCCAGGGAACCTGTCCCCTCCTCTGCTCTGGCTCCCCCTTTCCTGTTCCACTCTGACCTTGATTTGACCTTTCAAGTTCCACCAGAACTGCAGGGACAGACAGAACATGAAGTGGCAGGGAGAATACCATCCACACCCCACAAGCACAGGTCACAGTGGACACCTGAGTTGTTCACACAGGCTCTTCCATGAGTGCTGGGGCTACCAGATGTAGTGTTTGATTCTTCCTCTCCAAGGTCAAGATCCAAAAGACAGCTAATTAAGTCCATAAGTGAGAACAGGGAGGCAGCCAGCCCGATTCCTCCTCCACTCTCAGAGCCTCTTCTCTACTCCAGAGACGGCAGACGCTAGAAGCAGAGTCCAGGAGGCCCCTAAACTCTGCTCCCCACAGCCCTTGCCCTGCCATCCATGACCACCCCACAAAGGACAGTAGATATGACAGTACTTTAGAAAGAACTCCAGAGGCTGCACGTGTGAGGAGAGGGTTATCAACAATGCAGTGACAGGTGATATGAGGCTTGGGTGGGGTTCAGTCTGAGGCAGGGGAGGGGGGGCAGGGGGTGGTGCTCACATCTGTCTGTTCCTCCCTCAGCTCCACCAGGTGCTGGTCCAGCTCCAGGCTGGCGAGAAGGAGCAGGACTTTGCCTCAACTCCCATCCAGGTCTCCATCAGCGTCCAGCTGTGGCGGCTCCCCGGGTGTCATGAATTCCTGGCGGCTCTCGGTAGGACCAAGCACCCTTTACTTGATGCGTTATTTTACTTTTTCTTCACGTCATTTTCCCTCCTGGTTTCTGTTGGGTAAAGTTGGGAGACTCTAGGGCTCTTATCTCAGTATTAGAGAAACAGATATTGGAGTCTAATGCTTTAGCAAGACACCTGCTTCCCTCCATCACCATGTCCCCTTCTCCTCCGTCCTCCTTACCTCACCAGGAGTCTGATAAAGTCCAAGGTCACTGGAGGTCCCACCATGATGAAGAACTGAAAAATTACAGTCACAATACAGCTCTTTCAGTGTTGGGTCCCCATTTCTGGCTGTTGAGTATTACTGATGTGGCCAGGGTCTCCAATGGCTGCACACAGACAGTCCTCACTTAGTCCAGGATGCTCATTCCTGTCACTACCTGCCATGTGGATCATGAATGGCCAGCTCCTGACATCACCGCTGTTCACTTACACATCCAAGCCCCTCTTCTGTCTCTTGTGGACCTAGTAACTTCTGGGAGCCATCCACCCCCACAACTACCTCTGCACACCAGGGAGGCACTAGGTACTAGAGACACAGCAGTGTGCCCAGCCTTGCTGCATCCATATCCCAGTGGGAGGGAGGACAGACACAAGCTGCACCATGTCTCCAGGGAGCTGGAAAAGGTGAAGGGTCTTCACACAGACAGGCCCTAGGGCCAAGGACCAACTGGAGTGGGGTCAGGGGCCAGGCCAGGCCTCAGAGACCAGGGATATGGACATGAGAACCAGGGTGCCACTGGGACAGAATAAGGATGGGGACACACTGGGCAGAGAAGTGCTGGGGTTCAAAGCCAGGTGAGGGAAGCCTCTGAGGGATGACAACAGCCTTTGGAAAATGGCAGTCTGGCTTCACTGCCACAGGGACCATCAGATATACAGGATTGCACATCCTCCTGCTGTGTCTGGGCATCTGCTCGCCTGCTGAGTACTGGTTGCCTGTGTTTTGACAGACATATTGCTCTCTAGGGCTGGGCTGCTTGTTTTCTATCTGGAGTTAGTGGCATCGTCCTCCTGGTGTCAGTAGGGGAATGTGGGGAATTTATAGCTAAATAAATGCCATCAGAAGCAGTGGAGGTGGGAAAGACAGGCCACGCTTCTGTGGTGGCTCTCCAGCTGCCTTAGTACAGTGACACAGCTATAATACGGGAAAATGGGGCTCCATCTTTTTCCCTCAGCAGGGCTAAAATCCAGTGGGATGGTGTGACACAGTCAGCCTTCCACATCCCTTTACTTCCTGCCTGAGTCATGGAGAACAGTCCAGAAGGATGCTAGCCCAACTCTGGCTCCCCCTGGTGCCAGACCTGGGGCTGGCTTCCACTTATGTTCTGTGGCCTCCAAGCTGCCCCTCAGGAGACTGTGCACATGTCATCAGTCTTGAATCCCAGTGGTCAGGGAGGAAAGCAGTGTTGTGGCAGGCCTGGTCCCAGGAGCCCTTCGGGCCTCAACTAAACTCCCTCTGCCAGCACAGCACAGGGATGTCACAGGGAGAGCAGCTGACACCCATCTCTTTGGTAAAAGTAGAGGTTTCTATCAGAAACATTGCATTTACACAAGTAGTTATCCTTTTAAATGATTTCTCTGAGACATGCTGTTTATTTTCCAACTCAGAGATGAAATTTTCCCATAGCAACCAGACCACCCAGTGGCTTTTTCAGGAAATCTCATTCTGAAGGGAATAAGAGTCAGACCAGTGTCAGAATCCTGACCAGGGGTAGAAAGGGGACTAGAGCCCCCTTTGCTGAGTGGTCAGTGGCTCAGTCAGGAACACAGTGCCTCAGCCTGTGCTCTCCAGTCACTGTCATTTACCATTAGGAGCCTTGTCCCCTGAGCTCCCACTACCACTACCCCTGCGGTCTCAAGCAGGGCAGTGAACTCTTCAGGAGTCTGGCTGATCTTGTCAGAGACCACAGTCTTGGGTCACATTGCCTGTGTTTGGCTTCTTCCCTAGGAGAGGTATATGTGGGCTGCCTCTGTGATGCTGGGCTAACCTAGGATTCCTTGGGCTCAAGGGATCCTCCCACCTTAGCACTGCAGGTGACACCATTGTACCCACTGTGATGTCTCTAAAATTGTCTAACCATAGTATCAACAGCTCATTAGCCAGCCCATCACTTGAGAATACCTGCTGCCCTCTGTGTGGCACACCAAAGCCCAATGGAGCGCATAGAATGGGAAGCGGGTAGCACCCCTGGGCCCAGAAGGCAGCCTTCCCTCCAGTGGGAGAACATCTTAGAGCCCCATGGGTAGCAGAGCCAAAGCATGCAGGCAGACCCATCCTTGAGCACAGAGATGTCCCTTCCCAGGCCCCAGTCTGAAGACCTGCTCCAGTGCTGAGTGAAATGGCCAGGATTGCCCTGAAGACTGAGGAGGCAAAGCCCAGCAGCCAGACACCCACTGGCAGCCCTGCTGTGTGCCTACAGCAGGGGCCGTGCACTGCACATGGTGCCTTCCTGCAGAGGCAGCATTTGTCTTCCCTGTTTCTCTAGGTTTTGACCTCTGTGAAGTGGGCCAGGAAGAAGTGATTCTGAAAACTGGGAAGCAGGCCAGTCGGCGTACCACGCACTTTGCACTCCAGTCCTTGCTGTCACTCTTTGGTAAGTGCCTCCCTCCTACAAGCCTACCATGTTCTACTGTCCCTCAGAAAGTAAATGGGCCTGTCTTGAGTTTGTGTTAGAACCGGCTGGGGAGGAGCCCATGGAGCTCCTTGCTCTGGAGAGCTTTGTCCATGAGGGACACAGACAGTGAGAACTCAGTAGCGTGCCTGTGGCCAACCAGGCCTGAGGAACACTAAGGTAGGTACCAGACTGGGGGACAGTGGAGCTGACAGCATGGTGAGGTGACCAGACATACCTTGAGGGTGAGCACGGTCTAGCAGAGGGTCCTCAGGACCTGGGGCCACGCCTCCCCTGGATGATTCCATGCCAGGGCAGAGCTGGCAGCCAGATGGATGGCAGCCACAGTTTGAGGGCATCAAAACAACAGGATCTGCTAAAGAACAAGCTCTGTGACAGCAAGGCTTGAGGGGTGGCAGGGCTTTCTTAAACACTAGTCTAAATGGGTCAGCACTGTGCTGAGTTGGGAAAACTGCCAGAGTGAACCGGGGTGCCATTTTGGACATGTCATGTTCCAGGGTATCTGTCAGATGCCTAAGAGACCAGTGTGGAGACATAAATGTCAGAGAAAAGGGAAGAGGCATGTGTCTTGTGGAGTACACAGACTCCAGCTGCACATGCAGAGGGAACAGACACAGGGAGGCATGGTCAGCCAGGGCAGGTGTATCCATTTCAAAGCCAGCTGTAAGCACTGGATTTGGGGTGTGGACCTCACCAGTGACATTCACAAGAACAGGTGAAGACAGAGGCCTGAGTGGGGCTGCTGCCCAGACAGAGGCCTCTAGTGGGGGCTGGGAGCTCCCCTAGGGGGCTGCACTTCTGTTTCAACTGGACTGTGTTTCTCAGGACTATAGGCTTAACTCAAGCTGTATGGATGTAGTCTGTGTAATTCTTTGCAGGCTTCTAACATATAAGGATGCTTTTTGAAGGAAAAATCAGTCTATAAAATCCTAACTGCCTTTTGGCCTGGACATTTTTGTGCCTAGATTCCACCGAGCTCCCTAAGCGCCTCAGCCTGGACAGCTCGTCCTCCTTGGAGTCACTGGCGTCGGCGCAGTCTGTGTCCAATACTCTACCCTTGGGCTACCAGCACCCTCCTTTCTCTCCCACCGGGGCAGAGAGCATCGCCTCTGACGCCATCTCCGTGTACAGTCTTAGCTCCATCGCCTCCTCCATGAGCTTTGTCTCCAAGCCTGAGGGGAGCTCAGAAGGTGGGGGCCCCCGAGGACGACAGGATTACGACAGGCCCAAGAATGCCCATCCACAGCGAGCCACCCTGCCGAGGCGCCAGCTGTCCCCCCAGGCTCGGCATGGGGTTAGCAAGGAAGAAGAGGAGTATGAGGGGTTCTCCATCCTCAGCACAGAACCCCTGGCAGCATACCAAGACAGGAAGCCGCGCTTCTCCCCAGACCCCAAGCAGCCCTCCGGGGCACCAGGTGGTGTGAGGCTCTCAGTCAGCTCCAAGGGGAGCATCAGCACTCCCAATTCTCCAGTGAAGATGACTTTGATCCCCAGCCCAAACTCGCCCTTCCAGAAGGTCGGGAAACTGGCAAGCTCAGACACAGGCGAGTCAGACCAGTCCAGCACAGAGACCGACAGCACCGTGAAGTCACAAGAAGAGAGCACCCCCAAGCTTGACCCCCAAGAGCTGGCCCAGAGGATCCTAGAGGAGACACAGAGCCACCTCCTGGCAGTGGAGCGCCTTCAGAGGAGTGGCCCAGCCATCAAGGGCCCTGACCGTGAGGATGGTGTGACAGCATCTACCACAGTCTTCAGGGCTTCAGAAACCAGCGCTTTCAGCAAACCTGTCCTCTCCCATCAGAAGAGTCAGCTGTCACCACTCACCCTCAAACCAAAGCCCCCAGCCAGGAGCTCATCCCTCCCTAAGGTGAGCTCTGGGTACAGCAGCCCCGCCATGTCAGAGGCATCAGGCAAGGATGGCCTGAGCCCACCTAGCAGCGGCCCATCACCTGGCTGCAATACCCAGGCCTCCCCATCAGACCAACCTCTCTTTAGACTCAAGTACCCTAGTTCTCCTTACAGTGCTCACATTTCCAAGTCCCCCCGGAACACATCTCCCGGATCAGGCCACCAGTCCCCGGCAGGCAGTGCGCCATCACCTGCACTCTCCTACTCCTCAGCTGGCTCTGCTCGCTCCAGTCCAGCTGATGCCCCCGATGAGAAGGTGCAAGCAGTGCATAGCCTGAAGATGCTCTGGCAGAGTGCACCCCAGCCCACCAGGGGCCCCCGGAAAATGTGCCGAGGTGCACCGGGAGCCTTAACATCCAAGAGAGATGTCCTCAGCCTCCTGAACTTGTCCCCTCGGCACAGCAAAGAAGAGGACGGGGCAGACAAGCTGGAACTGAAGGAGCTGCCTGTGCAGCAGCAAGATGAGGTGCCACCCAAAGTCCCCACCAACGGCCATTGGCGTACGGAGACAACAGCACTGGCCCTGTCCAGTGGCCCTGGTCCCACAGCTGCCACACGCCCTCTGAGACTGCCCTTAGCCAATGGCTATAAATTCCTATCTCCGGGAAGATTCTTCCCTTCCTCCAAATGTTAAAGCGTCTTCCTGCCCTGACTCAGCACACAGCACAGCCAGGGTCTCGGGCTCCCTCGGACCTGTTCCCTCACATAGTGCAGTCACCCACACAGCCACCAGCACCACCTCCTCTCAGACAGGTGGGCTCCCTGAGCAAGGCACTGCTTCGCCAAATACCACCCCACCCCACTGGTGGCTCCTTGAGGCCAGTGGACTCGTGTAGGGTCAGAATGGGCCGTGCACTGTCCACTCACTTCACGTTTACCTTTGAACTCCTGCTTCTCATGTTAGATGTGATTCTGCAACAGGACTTTGTACAGAAACGGTCATGGTTCTGTGGGGAGGCGAGGAGCACATATTTTGCTACAAGGTCTCTATGCATCCCTTTTATACACAGAAGTTCAAACAGCTTTTGTAAGGCTTTCAGGTGCTGGATGGGGATAGAGAACATTTCTCTAAGTTCAATTCTACACGAAAGCATTACATTATTAGCCAAAAGCAGAATGATGGTTTTTAAAATGCCAGTGCTTTTGATTAAATCATAGCCATTTTGCTCTCATGATATTGGAACATCACAGCCACAATGCAATAATAACTCACATCAAAAGTGCTTCCATCCCGAGCTGTTCCCCATGAGCTCGACCAGGGGCCTTTTGGACCCCACTGTCAGCCAAACTTGAATTTTCTTTAAAAAAATTTCTGTAACTCTTGTCCAGGCATTTAAAAACTATGCAATTGTGATTTAAAACACAACTTTGTGCTTTTAAAACATTACTGACCTTTTTTGTACGTGGGTAAACACTTGGTTTTATTCTCAATACTACTTTGCATTTATAGCAATTATTTTTTAAAGCTCAAAGGTTTTTTAAAATGTCAGATTTTGAATATTCCCCCATAAGCAATTATCAGGTTTTGGGGGGAGGGAGTATGGTTGAAATTATTCGGTTTCCTTTAAGAAAAAAGAAGAAAAAAAAAAAAAAGAAAGAAAGAAAAAGCATCTTATGGCCAGACAGACTGGAACCTCATCTTCCAGCCCCGTCTCATTCAGCTGCTTCTCTGTGCTGTTCCCCAGCTCAGGCTCCTCCAAGCCCTCTCAGTCCATTACCAGGCCCCACCCCCCACCCTGTGAGCTCCTTCCTATCACAGGAGACACTCAGATCCTGAGAAGCGGGTGCCTTCTCTGCTGTATATTGGAGTTCTGACTAGATGAGTGGTCAGGCTTCACCACAGCAGGTGAAGGTTGCTCTTCCTGAACTGTGACAGTGCACATGGTTACCAGGTCAACAAGTCAAGGGAATAACATTCCATATCAGAACTTAAGTATCTTTTAGGTGATCTAAAATTAAAATCCCCCCTCACTGTGAGGGCAGTCACCTGGCCCAGGTCCCCAGCAGCACATGGAGGGGACTTGGGGGACCTGGTATCGTAGCTCCCAAAGGCACCTCTGTTTTATTTCTGGTTTTGGTTTTGTAAGACTGGGTTTCAGTGTAGCCCAGGCTGGCCTCAGATTTGAAGCAATCCTCCTGCCTCAGCCTTGAGTGCTGGGATTACAGGCCTGCACCACCACACTATGCTAGGATTTCACTCTGTAGCAGCCACTAACCACTTCCTGCTCTTCAGTGTGTTCTTCTGAAATGGATGGTGCTGCTCAACCCTGTTAGTCAGATGAGCTCCATCACAGAGGATCCTACATTTGACCCAACAACCTTGTTGACAAACACAAGGAGGATGTCACATTCTAGCCTGACACCAGCACTGGAAGAGAAACGTTTTATGAAGCAGTATGCAATGATGGGTTGTCTTATGTTAGTAGGGGAAAAAACGCTCACAGTCCCCATGTAGCAAATGGAAACAAAATTTATAGCACTGTGCATTCAGATAACAAAGTCAAGTCCTCGGCACCCAAGAAGCAACCTCAGCACAGATGCTAACAACTGGACTCTGTCCTCAGCCGTGTCTTCAGCCTCTTCCCCAAGTGCCCAGGAGCCAGGGCTGATGGCCTGGCTCTTTGTGCTTAGTCCTGGGTGCAACCCACCATTGGCAAACGCCTCTGCCCCTCCCTGCACCATGCAGTGTGGTTGTCAAGCCAGTGAGGAAGACTCATGGGCTGCCCTGGTTGCACGCCTAGGTACACTCTTGTTTTCTGGCTCACTGAAGAGTGAAAAGTACCTGGATGTTTTTTCTTTGTACTAGATGTACGTTTCAATGAAGGGAAACAAAGTTGACAAAATGATGGGACCAATGTGCAGAGTATCCCTTTAAGTCAGTCTTAGTGATTCCATACAAGTAAGATGCCAGTGAAGTGAAAGTCAAATTGAAGCTTTCAGCTACACCAAAAAGAGGACACACGTAAAATCACAGAAGACTGTGTCATTCAGAGGTCTTTGTATTGATCAGGGGTTGACAGCCATGACCCACAGGCTAAAAGCTGATAAGCCGGGGTTTGGGGTTGGTTTATTTTAGTTTAGTTTTTTGGCCATAATCCAATAATGGATTTTGCCTTTTTGACCACAAAGCCTGGAGTCACCTAATACCAGGCCTTTTTAGGGAAAGGTTGGCAAGTCCCGGTGCATGTGACAGAAAATGCAACTGCAATTCCACTGTGTTCCTATGATAGGGGAGTACCTGAGGTGGCAGGGAAGACTGGCATGCCGGGCCTGAGTCTGCCTACTGTGCCTGGGTGGTCCTGCATAGTCCTTGACTCTTCATCTCAACTGGACGGGGCCAGAGGACCTGGGCCAAATTCACAGAGGTATTCTTTGATGCCCTTTGGCTGGTAGTATTGGAGAGATTTCATTCTGCTCAGGAAATGACATTTTTTAGTTAATTTTTTTTTCTTAAATGCCTGCCCTGTTTTACCAGATGCAGACTGCTGGAGACAAATGCCTGTCGGACCACAAGAGCAAGGCTACAGGCTGTCTCAGTTCTCACCAGTGATTTTTAACTTACATTTTGACCCACGTTGGTGTGCAGCAAAGCAAATTAGCTCCCACCTTCCTCCCCTTTTTCAAAAATTCATTCCACACTGATCGGAGGCAAGGTGCCACCCACAGGGTCCTGACCCTGCACCTGCCCGCCCCAGAGACCCTCCGGTGGGTGAGCACCAGGCAAGTCCCAGACTGAGCTGTCCAGCTGTCTCCAGCACACACAGCCCAACTACAGCTTTAGCAGCACATTTAGCCTGGTTTGTGTAAGGAGGCCAAAGGTAAAACGTGTATAATTTTCATCGCACATCTTGTTTGATCTGAGATGACTGTACATGTGGCTTGTGAACAGGCCCGTTTGCACCAGATCCTTCAGAGAAGTCCACGCCAGCGCCCGCTGTCCCCTTCCCGGGCACCCCTCACCCTACTTGGCATTCACACTCCTTATATGCATTGTTAGCCACCTTTGGCCTACATGGACTTTTTTGTAAATTACACAGTTTCCAGACAACATTAAACTTTTTATATTACAGAATTTGTCATGTAAAAAGAACTTCATATTTTTATCAAGACTGCGGGCACTTGGCCTTCTCCCTTTGTGATCTCAGTGTCTATTAAAGCATGAGTTTGTTGGTTTTAAGTGCTGTCTGAATCTCTTTCTACACATGTCCCACTCTGCCTAGGGTTCTGCAGCAACAGAACAGCCACATTTATGAATGAGCGCACATCTGAGTGTCACACTCATCCATGACACCACAAGGGGACAGCAGGAGGAGCGCCAGGGAAACAGCCAACACCTCAGGTCTTCTAGACTCATAGTAGAGCCAGAGAAGTCCACAGTTGAACACTTGTTAGACAGAAAACAAGCACTTTTAGACACCTGATCCCCCATCTCAGAAAACTTCCAAGAAAGTATTTCAAACAGAAGGAAAATGATCCTGCAGGTGCCTCAGAAACGCAATGACCAGTGAGCAAGGGGCCGCAGGATGTGGAGACAGCACAACACCAAGGAGAGGGCTGTCTGTGTGACAGTGAAAATACTAGATGATAGGACAGAAAACAAAGGAGCCAAAGTGCTGTAAGTTTCAGAACCGAAGGAAGTAGAGGGTAATACCTTAATTGTGCATCATCTGTGCACACTCAGAAAATAGGGGTAGGTAGTTATACTTCTAAATTGATTAATAGTATAGAAGATATACAAATGTTTTTTTCTTAGATATTGTTTGATCTAAAGGAACAGAATAAAGGAGAAACATAAAAGTCTGGTTGAAAACTAAACCAGGACTGGTATGGAAGTGAACCCGCAGCCAGGAAAAGTGATGGTAAGAGTCCCCCTCTCTACACCATGTGCTTCTTGCGAAAACCCCACCCAAGCATCAGGTCTCAGGTGGCTGATACCTTAAGGATGGGTAAGAATCAACCTTAAAGTCACAAGGAAACAATGGCCCACTGCCTCGTAATGAACTGAAGAAAAACAAAACTCTAAGTTGTGCTACAAATCCTAAATTTTGAGCTGACTACACAGCCTCAAACTTTACAGAGAGAAGTCTGTCAGATTGTCTAGTTGTGAAAAATGTCCTAAAGGGAGACTCCAACCCGCCACGCTCCATCTGAAACACCAGGCGGATGAGGCCAGAGACCCCATGGTCAGTTGGACAGTTCAGTAAATAGGAGCCCTGCCTCCAACAGTGAGGCCACCTTCCTCACATGCCCATGGAGGTGTTTCATGAAAACAGTGTACAGGCCACATGTGTGTTTCCAGAAAACATCAAAGAAAGCATCAGTCACTGCCACATAATCGAAATGTGATGCAGTTCATTTGACAGCAGTGGCAGGACGGGAATAAAAATTCCTTATTGGATATTTTTAATATACTACATAACATATGAACCACAAAAGAACTGATAATCAAAGCAAGAAATTATGGGATGGGTGTAGATCAGTGGTAAAGCACTTTCCTAGAATGTATGCGACCCCGGCTTGGTTCCCAGCACCAGGAAAAAATGTGAGGAAAACCCCACAACTTACACGAAGCCAGTGGAGGCCTCCAGCCATCCCGGCAGTTTCTGGGGTTCACTTTTATTCACAGCCGGGTGTTTCTTACGCATTTTACATAAGCCTAGAGGGCAACACATGGGACTACACTTTCACTCAATAAAATGAAACATTTTAATCTCTGCTTGCATGCTGCTTTGGGCAAACTTAGAAACTGCAGCCATCTTAGTCTCCATGGACTTAGCCACAGCACCACTAGGGATAGAATCCACAGGTGCTCAAATCCCTCTGCAAAGTAGTACAGTCCAGATTGTAAGTCAGGTGTGTCTTCCTTCATAATTCAAGCCACAGAGTCTATATCATAAGTCAGGCACATCCTCCTTTACACCTCAATCCACAGATGATGACGGTGTAGTCTCCTGTGGTGTGAATTTAGTACAGACAGTTGCTGCACTGTGCTCTTAGCAGTGACAACACAGGGTGAGTAGAGACAATTTTTCCAAATTATTTTCAATTCACGGTTGAATCCATTCGTGTGGAACCCACACATACAGAGGGCCAGGTATATGCAAAATCATAAGAATAATCTATAATTCCACAAAGTGACTGGAATCTAGGGTCTTAAAGAAAATTCTATAAGCCTAAATGTTTATATTCAGTAATACAATATTCAGGGTAATATTCAAAAACATAACTGGAGAAACCCCAAATCTTGAGGGGGGCAGGCAGCTCTGAGCAGCAGGTACCATCATCCTAGTGTACTGGCACTAAGGAACCAACCCAGAAAGTCAGAAATGTAGAGTATGCTCAGACAGAGCAGATGGGAGAGAAGAGGACAGCTCAGCAACCAAAGAAGGCAACGTAGGGGAGCCAGGCCAGCACTTGCCAAAAACAAAACTGGGCGACTCTGCAGAGGCTGCTGAGGGTGGGAAGGAAAGAAGAAGGGATAAACTAATGATACAGCAGAAATGGAAAAAGAAGTGCATACACGACAATTTTATATTAGTGTGTGTGTGTGAAAATGCAAACACCATTCTGAATACCATAGAAGCAGACACACTGAGGAAGTCAGAAGTGCAGCACTGGGCACCAACACGGTAACGGCAGCGCAAGCACGTGGTGACTGCTGTAATAAACACTGAAAACAATCAGCTTACAAAGAGAAAGGGAGATCTGGGCTCCCAATGCAGGAGTTTTGCTCTGTGAAGATGCTGGCTTTGGGCCTGTGGGGAGGTGGTGACATGATGCAGGAGCATGTGGAGGTGCAAAACCCTGGTGCACATCATGACTTCCCACAGCCCCTCCAAAGGTAAGCTGCAGTGACCTCACACTGGCCCAGCGCTCCCACCAGGCCTTTAAGGGACAGACTGGGGTGTTGCGGGTTCTCAGGCCAGCTGTGAAGACCCTAACCTGGATCGGGTCCCCTGCTGATTAGGGGGGGCAAGAGACATGGAGTCACGACACACAGACCCCGGGAGTCGGGTAGAAGCAAGCACTAGGCAAGGTGCTGCAGGCTCCTTTAATGCAGGAGGGGGCAGGCCTTATATTTCCCTTTTCTCCGCCCCCAAGTCCCTTTAGTCAGTGTATCGTTTTCTGATTGGTCCGCACCATGCAGTCTGTCAGCAGTCACTGGGCTCGTGAGGGGGGTACGGAGGCGTGGGCTCCTTTTGGTGGGCTATTTGCAGACCAAGAAGTGAAGTGAATTCTCGCTGAATCCCAGGGCTCTGGGTCCACGCCATCTTTGGAGGCCTTCTGCTACATTTCCACCCTTTTTCTTTAAAAATGACTGTCTAGCGAGAGCCTGTAGGCAGCTCCACCTCAGGATGACCCCAGGATCATGGACCGTGCCTGTCTTAGGTTGTCCTATTCGGGCATGAACCTTACCCATCATTGGAGCATGGGCATACACGTTCATGTCCTGGCTTAGGTTGATTCAGCCCAACAGGAGCTTACCCATCATTGACTACCAGCCCTCCAAGGAGTATCATCCCAGGGGATCAGTCAAGATGGGGAATTATCTGTAGGAAGCCTTGTACATTTGTGCAAGCCAAGTCTGTCTGGCTGCATAGGGTGGGTTGAAATCATCTTCGTGTATTGCTCTGAGGGCCTGATACACTGAGTGACTGAATTTTTTTCTGACTGTGGGAACGAAGAACAAGGCATTTAAGAAGTAGAAAGAGAAGAATAATTATGCCTGTCAGGAGTAGGTAAGTGACGATCCAAGACAGGTCAAACAGTGCTTTTAGATTAGACCAGATTTTCTCTAAGCATGTAACCCAAGGAGGCACTGCCAGCATAATCTTGGATGGTCAGGTTGAACAGCTCAGTGCATGAGGATGCATTGTTGGTAGTGAAGCATAGTTATTTAGGGGCCAGGAGCCATTGAGTGATTCCCAGGAAGTAACTGGGTCCATGGTGGGGAGGCCAAGCATAGAATTAGTTGAATAGAGGGTGGGGTAAGCTGGGGAATGAAGTGATAAGGGCAAGAGTATAGGCGGGGAGGGGACCAAGGCCCAGAGATCATGGGCCATGGCAGGGGTGGGGAAAAGCAAACCAATTATCCAGATAGCGGTGAGGTCTCTGGGTCCTGGGGGTCCTGTTGGTCAGTGGCTGGTCTCACATCTTTCGCTGGAACTCATACTGGCTTTGTTTCTGTCTGAGGAAATACACAAGCATAGCCTTGCCCTCTTGTTAACAAGGGGGTGCACTGTTGCCATTGACATGTTAAGGCATCCTTCCATCTCACTAGTGGCAGGGGTGTAGGCCTAGGTATGGTAGCTCAGTGTTTGTAGGCCAGGCTCAACCCATTTTCATTGAAGGACAGGAAATTAATGCTCAATAGAGCTTCAATTAGAGCCAGGTGCGGGTCCCTTTTAGACTCGGGTAGCAAATTTTTGTAATGTTTCTTTGAGGGTCCTATTTGCCCACTCCACAATGGCTTGTCCCTGTGGATTATAAGGGATGCCAAGGGAGTGGCTAATTTTCCATGTTGACAGGAATGATTGGAATTGTAGAGAGGTGTAAGCTGGCCCATTATCAATTTTTAGGGTCCATGGCACTCTCATTACCAACATTGCTGATCTGACCGCCTTAATGGCATGTGAGGCCTTTTCACCAGTTTGAGTGATGGCGAGAAGAAAGGAGTAGGTGTCAACAATGACATGGACATACTTAAGATTACCAAAGGAGTTATAATGGGTGGCATCCATTTGCCAGAGGGCATTGGGTAGGAGACCACTCGAGTTAACTCCATATTGATTGAGGGGGCCTAGGGAGCAAGGGGTGCACATGTAACGCAAGATCTGCTCAGATGTTTGCATTGAGAGATGGGTAGGTCAGGTAGAAGGCGGTGCAGACTGCGAGGAGAAAGGTGAAATTGTTGGTGTAAGGCTCTGGCTTGTTCTAGCAGAGGAATCTCTACAGACATAATAAGTTTGTCTACTTTGTCATTTTCCTTTGCCAAGATCCCGGGGAGCTTGGTGTGTGATCTTATGTGGGAGATGTGCCAGGGCCATTGTCTGTTATCTAAGATAATCTGGAGCACTCTCATCATTCTAGTGATGGGATCCTTGTAGCCTTTTACCCGAGCAAAGGGAAGACACATGAGGGCCTGAACCGCATACTGGCTGTCGGAGACTATATTGA